GCTGTAGTAAGTCAGAACACGGTTGAAGCACTTCCTGTTTGGTGATATAACCCCAGTGAAGATACCGTTGTGTTTTAATATTTTAAGAAGGGGACAGCACACACCTGTCAGGGCCAACTGTCGATTTGCTCTTGTGGCAAAGCATCAGGAAGATGGGCTCCCTGAGGAGGTGACATTCATTACAAACCGCTCCAGGCAGAAGGGTGATGGGCTTTTCTTCTGATCCTGGCAGATCTCAACCCATACAGTATTTCAAACGCTTGGACGTGATGTTTTTACCAACAAGGATTCCATTTTGTGAGAGTGGAATGTGGATGGGGTGTTGTGTTTACAATATAAACAAACATGACTTGGCTAAATGTTTGTCTTTAGGGTATGGAGAGTTTATGAAACGCAAAAAGGATGAAGGGAAATACGTTCCTTCCCCTCAGAGAGAAATCAAAAAGCTATCTCTTAAGATACTGTTTTTAATACAATACTTTTATATGCATTCCATCTTCATTCCTTGATTGATAGAAATGCTCTTATTGATTGACCACGAAATTGCTCGCCAGGGACAGTATGAGATTTTAAATGTAAATATCAGCTCATCTCAAGCTTTTTCCTGTTGACCATCTTGTATCCATTAAGTGTTGGTCTTTAACCAGCTGACCCTGAGTGACAACCAATTAAATCTCACCGCCTGCTGCAGAACTAAAGATTTGCAATAACCAGTTGCTGCCTTTACCAGACTCACAAGATTAGTACGTAACAACTTCATTTGTCACTGGGGGAATGGTCCTGCTTGCTAACATAATTAAGATGGACCTAAAATAGATAAAACAAACTGGTATAATTGGAAAGCCCACAGATGTGAACAACCTGACATTTCCATTACCTCTATCTGAGCAGTTTTCCCACTCACACCAGCCTCCTCTCTGGTGGTCCTCCTGCATCAGCGGCTCAGGCTTCTTAAAATGCACATTCAGCTCTGTCTAACTCCTCTCAGCTTGAGACCACAAAGATGTGTTTCATGCTTTGCTTTTTGTACATCACAGCGTGGGAATAAAGCGCCTGCAGCATCTCAATTCACAGAGGACATAATTGAGAGGAAAACTGTAAAGCTCTCGGAATACAGCAATGGACTGTTTCTTCATTTTTTGTTTGGTTTACAATGAAATAATAACACTCCAGGTCATAGGAGGGCTCCATGTGCTGTCATTTAATTTAACCACTAGGGAGGATGGGATCAGGGCCCAGAAGGAACACACAGCTTGGCTCACCAAGCCTGAACAATTAAAAAAGTCTGTAGGCACCACAAGGCGTGCATTTAGTTTGTACTGTAAATATGGCTGAAACAATGTGTTTGGGTCAGAAAAGTACATTCGTTTGTACATTGTACATTGTACGTTGTTTGCATCATTAATTACACTTGACCTCTTTCTGCACCTACTAATGATCATTCTCCAGTTGCCTTGCAATTGCTAAATCAGCAATTATCTTCTATGTATATCCCCAGTGGACACAGGCAAACATGATAATTAACCATTGCATGTGAACATTTTATGACCCCACCTTCTGTCCATATAATCCATAGACTTTAAACCTATATGCTGTAAACAAAAAAACAAGTCTTCCCATCTTTATCTTTTTTGGACATTCATTTTACCACCTAACAATCTGTTTGTGAGTGCAGTCATCAGCAGCAGCCTGCATTACATCACACCATAAAATGTTATAGAGGAAACAAGATGCACACAATGTAGTTCAGAGCCTAGAAATCAATGCTTGTGCTACATGTATAAAATCCTTTCTGTCAGAGCAGCTTTTGAAAGGTCTGATCTACTCGCCCACTCTCAGCTCCTGCTGGTTTAAGACGACCCCAAGCTCAGCTTCCCAGATACCTCTGCACTGTGGAGCGTGCTCACATTTAAACAGCTCACCCCTAAATCAGTGTACAGAAGATGGTAGAAGAAGAATTGGACTGTTAACCAATAGGGACAAGCATGCTTCACATATCAGAGGCGAAAAGACTACATCTTAAATTGTTTTCACATACCAAAAATATGTTCAAAGGGCTCCATGGAGAGAGATAATGAAGCTCAAAACTTCAAAAGGGAAAAAATAAACCAGTGTGACTTATGATTCCTTACTTAGATGTTAATTCAATACATATTTATGTAGGTAAAAGTTGATGGTATAGCTACAAACTAGGGATATTGAACAAGACTGAAACACATTTGTTTTTGCATATTAGATAGATAGACATATTATTTACTTTATTGATCACGAGGGAAATTCAAAGCATCCAGTAGCAGGTTACAAAGACGTACATGACATGAAACATTTGTTACAAATGAACCACAAAACTCAGTGTGGCTGGGAAGTGCAAAAGCAAAATTACAAATGTGAGACAAATTTACATTTTGAAAAACCTTTTTACATTTTTATAAAACAAAATTACAAAACCAAAACACTTAGACCAAGGAATAAACACATTTACATCTTATAAAACAAATTTACAAGATGTGAAACACTTTTACAATCGCCAAACAAATTTACCAAAAAAATGGGAATGTACCAAATGTCGGAAGAGACCCGGAAGTGATCAAGTGAGGGGTCATTTTGTTTGTTTTGTCGCGGTACATTCCCTTTCTGTCAAGATTCTGTCGTTTGTAAATGTGTTTGGGGACTGGTAAAAGTGTTCTGCCTCTTGTAAATTTGTCTCAGCGATTGTAAAAGTGTTTCACATCTTGTAAATTAGTTTTGTACTTGTTAAGTGTTTTTGGTTTTGTAATTTTGTTTCATAAAATGTAAAAATGTTTTTCAAAATGTAAATTTCTCTCACATTTTGTAAAAGTGTTTAACACTTTGTAATTTTGCACTTCCCAGCCACCGTACAAAACCGATGCCCCCCCCTCCTATACATATATTATTTTTATTTTTTATATGTAAATACATGCTGCTGTTTTTATCCTGCACCACAACGGGCCAAATGCAACAAAATTTCGTTCTTATCTGCACTGTAAAGTACAAGTTTGAATGACAATAAAGAAAGTCTAAGTCTAAGTCTAAGTCTATATATATTAACCCGAAAAAAATATTTAAAAATACCCCTAGGTGAATCAAATTTTTTTAGCAATGTTTAAAAAGAATAAAATTATCAAAAAACAGACATTAAATAACACATATTAACCAACACTGAATGGTTTTTTGATATAAAAATCGAATTTGCCATCTATTAAATTCAACTTTTGATTTAATTATTTGATGTTTAAAGCTGCACTCTTCAGCTTCACTGTTTCCTGCAACTGAAATGGTTTGATTCTCACCCTGTTTCTTTCATTGAGCCTGTCTTTAGAAGCAGCAGGCATCTTTTCACAGTGAAACAGTCCCTTTATGCTTAATGCTTTTCTGTTTACAACTAGCTGGTGAACACTGTGGATCACCTAGCAGCTAAGCAGCCAGATATTTCCCTCAGGAGTGTGTCAAGGGAACAGAGTTGGAACAGTGTGAATATTGGACAAGTGATAATGTTTCTCAATGTCTGCGGGTTCTGTAAATGGTTTCACATTCTCTTGTCATTCGAATAATCAGTTTGCATCAGTTAGACTGCGTGAATCTACCTTCATTTTCTGAAGTTTAGCACATACTTAAAGTGTAATGACACAACATGCTATGAACTCTTGAATGTGCAGCACAGCTAAGGCTGAAAAATACAGAGTTGTTAAACCAAAGTTAATTACTTTTCTTAAAGTTTTACTGGCTGTGTGCCCCACACACCCAATAAAGGTTAAGAAACTGAATCCCGAATATTTCTTTTATGAGTTGAGAGCTGACATTTTCTTTCTAAAGGGCAACTCCTTTCCATAGTCTCTGCATAAATACAAAACCTTCACTCTCACTTGCTTAAATGGGATCATGCAGTAAGGATGTGCCAAACAGATGGGGCTGTGCATGTTGTTTTCTAAGAGTTGTTCACAGTTTGATTCTGTGCTTTTTTTAAAAATATGACAGAACATCGCATGGCATTGCATCGCATCGCATCACATCACATCCCACTGCACCGCACTGCACCAAACTGCACCTCACCTCACTGCACAGAACCACACCACACCGCCACGCTTTATTGTTTCCATATTTCATCTTTGACTCCAGTGCTGCCTCTCAGTAATACTTACTAATAAAACAAAAAGGACAAACACATTAACCATTGCACTTGCTATGATGTTTACAACATCTCTCTTTGCTCTTGTTTTAAAAGCCACTACATTGATAAATAAATACCAGCTTCCACAAATCTACCAGCAGTGATGAATATTTAGCCAATGGGGTATTTTTTTTAAATCAATAATTTCTGTAATGAAAACAAGACATCCTTAAAGGTCCCATATTATGTTTTTTCTGGTTTTATATGCTCTTCAGTGTGTTTTCCATGTGTCCTGTGCATGTTTAGGCACATCTATGTGCAAAAATTCAAAGTCCTCGATAAAAATGTGTCAGTGCGGCGTCATTGTCAGTGTGAGGTCACTGATCTAAGCCCATTGGCTCGTTGTGGCAAGCCCTGCAGCTCATGTTGAAATTTCAGAGACGCGTGCTGAGCAACTGACTAATAACGACAGAGCGGATCAGCAGACCAATCAGAGCAGACTTGGCCCACGTGGGGTCTAACAGTGTGGGCTCAACAGAGTGTAGCTGACAGACTCAGAGCGTAGAGGGAGCAAGGAGGAGCAGTACATGAAAACAGACACTTTTTTAAAACTTTAGCTATTGTGAACATACAAAAGATTACATAAATTAAATATACGAACCCCAAAAAGGGCATAATGTGGGCTCTTTAATGACTAATGACATCTTTGTGAATGCACTTATCCGTCTATTTGTCTTCACTGAAAATGAGCTTTGTCTATGTGTAACAGAAACGAAAAAAAAAGTTTTATCTGACTTCTTTGTATGGTAAGGTGTAGCTGCTCTCTGCCTCCATATTTAATGTGGTCCTCCTCTTGTTGTTTGTACTGCAGGAGTCCAGGTGGAACCACCTGTTTTCCTTCCTGGCCCTGCCTGCAGTGCTGCAGCTGTGTGTGCTGCCCTTCCTGCCTGAGAGTCCTCGCTACCTGCTGATGGAGAGGAGGGACGAGGCTGCAGCAGAGAGAGGTACTGCAGACACGAAGAGCAACACATGTGACTCACTCAAGTGCCCATGTAGAGTACATCACTGCTTAAATCGTTAAGGTACATTAGTGAGCACATTAGTGCTTGTTCAGGTTTAAGAGCAGTGGGGAAACCTTGCATGGTTCAAGTTCACTCACTTGAAAGAAGCTTTAAAAAATGATTCACTGCATTGCTGTATCTGCATGTGATTGATGGAGTTGTTTGCCGAGCCTCTGAACACTCTGATTACTTTCCTGTTGCTGCAATTTGTGGCTTTTAATTTAGATTCTCCCCGTCTTAGTGTTCTCGACAGAGCTTCAACGTGTAAGACTCTTTAAGAAGAGCCTTCCAAGACTTACAGTCAGGCTCTACATCTCATTTAGAATTGTGAATAGAGATTATGTTAGCTGTAACGATTCCTTCTCTTTACATTTCTTTTTTTTAAATATAAATATTGAACAGTGTGTAAAGTAAGTGCATTAAGGAGATATTGACTGTACCTGTGATCAGCCATGTGTGACTCCTTCCATTGCCCCTCTGTTCATGGACTCCCTCTTCTCTTTTGATTTGTCTATGATTTTGATAGAATCAGTGGGTGGTGTTGGAGGGCTATGTTCTTCTGTCACCTTTAAGAAACCCAAGGTCTACTTATGTGGTCCCTTTTGAAACAAGTTCAGTGTTTGTTCGGGACTCCTGTGATTCTGATTTTGCTTCTGGGAGGGAACGTAACAATTAGCATGATTTCCACTTCTATTTTCAGAGCTTTTTAAAATAATATTGATTGTTGAACACACATGAACATGAATGTTAAGGCCTCTTTGGGGACTAATATGGTCCACAGAATTGATGACAGTGAGTCACAAAGAAGCTGTTGTACTGACAGATGGGATTTCTCTTTTGAGCCCTGATGTATTTTGGGAAACAGCAGCGTTTCAGGTTTCAGATTCAGATCAGATTCTGAGTTTATCCGTATGTCTCCTTGGTGGTTTGAGTTGTTTGAAGTCTAAGTCCATACATCAATAGATAACCCTTATACTGACACAAATAATACAACCAGATGACTCAGACACATTCTGAAGCATCTTTTTAATGATACATGTATATCCATGAATTCAATCGGTGGTAATGATATCCTTGGGATGTGTAAGTCACACTGAATGATGTCAATATGTGCTTCATGTCTGCGTGTTAAGACTTATTAGAGTTCAAACTCAGATATGGTGATATATTTTTCACCTAGAGTAACAAAGGACCACAGTGCAGATTTCATTTTCAGTGTCCGCATTTCATATTAATCATGACTGAGTGTTTTCTGTTTTACTTTGTATCATTTCAAATATTTCTTCCTTTAATTTCCATATTGATGAAGTCTTGTTGAATCTGTGTGACAACTGCATGACAGCATACTGAGCGATAATGATAGTTTCATTCTGTAATGAATGTAAAGTTCACAGATGGAAATAAATTAATCAATGCTCCATCAAACATGTTTGAAAATGTTTTAGGAGTTTTAATTGCCATGAATCTCGATTTTTTTTTTGCTAACAAGACAATGTCTCTAAACCTTCAACTTTGATATATGGATCCTCTTGCCTAGAGTGATATTTGGGAGACTTTGAAGGAGTAAGATGGTGTAATGCTGTTTAATGTTGGAATGCAGTGGCACGAGAAGACACAGCGTCTGGTGGAGATGAAGCTCAAATGGAATGTATTAAGGAAGCATGTAACAAAATGTGACTGACTTTGATCAGTTTTGTCTCTGGGGTTGGTTGGAGATCTTTGATGTTTATGTTGATACGCTATAGCTGGATATGCTCCAGAGGTTTAGGTTCTTGAATTCTTTGTCAAGTGAAACATCCTGTTTGTTTCCTCTGACATCAGAGTGGTGCAAAGCTCAGCGAGGGCTCTCTATATCTAGATATTGATGATTAATTAGTCCAAACATTTTTAGATTTGAAAGTTTGATTTTACTTATTCGTTCTGTTTTATATAATGCACAGGAACTTTTTAAGTGAGCCCAAAATGCTACCAATCCCTTTAAAACATGATATACGTAGTGAATAGGCTGTTCTGCCTGTGATAGATCATCATGAAGAACAAGAATGAACCATTCAATGTTTACTATCAGGGAATTAAAACATGTTTGATCAAATCATCACACTTGCAGAGTATGGGAAAAATGGTGCAATCATTTTACCTGCCTAATTCATCCGAGGAGACAAAAACCCAGCAATAGAATCTGACAGAAACATGATGAACTCAGAAGAACATGGTGCTCTTCCACAGTGATGAGATTTTTGAAGAAAGCACATAATTTGACCAAATGTGTCCCTTCATCTTTTTTCTTTAGGATGTTTAAAAGGCATCCTGACGGAAAAACCATCATGGATGAAAACAATGAAAGGGTCTGCATTAGTGAGGAATTGTTGATTTTGATACCAATGAGACAGGAATGATAATGATCCGATAAGTTTCACAAATGTTACGATGACAGCACTTCTTCTTTGTGGTTGCAAGGAAGAATAAAAAGTTATATTGTTCGTGTCACAAAGTGATCAAGGAATGGGTGCCTGCACATACATAAAAAGCCACTGCAGTGCCGTGCCACATATTGCATTGAGCTAAAAGTCAAAGTTTTGTTTTTCTGTAAAAACAAAATCCACAATTTTTGTGCTGTAGCCATTTGTAAAGGATGCTGGCTGGGCTGCTGTCGTGGCACATTTCAAACAAACAAGAGGCTGCAGTGTTATTTTCTTCAGGTTTTCTTATAGCTTTGAAAAAAGAATTGTGTGTCAGTGCTGTTCTTCTCTGTCAACAAGGCGGCAGCCAGTATGTACTCCTTATAAGTTCTGTTTCCGGTGCAGAATGGTTTGTGATGCTTTTGACGATAGAAGTTGGCGGTTTTATGACATGTATGGACTGCAGTACCCATTTTAAAAGCTAGGTGTCCAAGTTACATATTGCTCCTTTAAAATTTGTGACAATGTTCACATCAGAATACAGCATTAAAAAGCAAACTGTATTTATTTATGTCCTATAGTAACATATGTTTTACTAACTATGGAGAAAACCCATGATCCAATATTGAGCTATAAAGACGTTGAGGCACTTTAATAGTCCTCCTATGATCCTAGGTTCACATGTTAGATTCTAAACTTAGGGGAAAGTCATTTTGTGACAGAGACATTTTTCATAGGATGATTTAGGCACAATCGTTATGGGTAGAAGGAAGGTCGCCGACTCATTGTGATTGCTCATTAATGCTTTAATAATAAATACCTATAATGATGTCTCCCTGACAACTAATTCCAACTTCTTGCCTTGTTGTTAATTTGAAAACTTTTTTTGTGGCAGTGTCTAGAATTCAAGGACTTCTTGTGATGAAGCTCACCAGCTCATTTTCACATTTGCCATCTGTCTTTGTTTATAGCTCTCAACAAATAAATAATGTTTGACAAATTGGAACCAGGGTTGTTTTTCTCCTCAAATGAAACAAAAGAAAATGAATGAGAAGCCATTTTTTAAAAATCAAATACATTTACAACCGTACACATAAGTACTCCACTAACAATTTAAAGGGATGTTGTGTTCTGAATGTGGTTACCTGCAAAGCGGCTGATGTACTGTTTTTGAAAACTTGTTGCTTGTGGTGTTTTCCAAGTATTAGACGACGTGAGACAATGAGTGTCTGTGTTATAAAATCTCCTTGAGGAGGAGATGAGTTGTTCTTGAGAGGACATCTGGCCCACACTCACATTACATCCTTTCTGCTGTTGCCAGCCAACATTTAGCTGGCATGAGTCATATCAGAGTTGCAGATCCGTGTTGTTGGCTTGAGTTACAGCGCTGAGGTTTGGGAATTGTTGTCAGCACGCATACATTTTCAAGAGGGGTGGGGGGGGCCTTGTTTGGTTGTATTAACATCATACAGTGTCAGACAGGAACAGCATGTTCTCTTTCACTTCATCTCGCTGCTTGTCATGCTATATATCTGCTGTAGTCCTGCCCACCATTTAAAGGTCACATAGGTCAAAGATGACAGTTTTATATACTAAACGCTGTCAGTGGGGCTGCCAAATGAACTGCATTTCATTTTAGGATTGCCTTGACTGCTCATGCATTCAGTTCCTATAAGGCTTATCCTCTCTTAGTTCATCCATTAACACTATGTGCACATGTAAGCTTCAAGATGCCATGATTGAGAGGGACACATCATAACTAATCAGTGCACGCTTCTTTCTTGTATTTTCATCTTCACTTTTTATTTTTAGATTTTAAGATAACGGGATGACTGTAGACAGGGTGCAAAGGACACTGTGACTTTAAGAGAAAGTGGGATTTAATCCAACAATCATAATATTCAGGAAGTTCAAAAATGTTTGTGAAGCGATTATATGTGACGGCCCGTAAAGAAATGTAACCCAACACATTCATTTTACAGCCGTTCATGTCTTTCCCAATCAAATTTCCTCAATAATATATATATATATTTAAACATAATAGTATAAGGACACATCTTGGGAGTCGTTCTGCAGTCTTTTTTTAAAGGTCATTTTGTGAGTATTTGTCATTGTGCTTGCTTTTGTATGCAAGATGAGGACATCAATGTACTTCAGTATCAGAGCTCAGAGTCACTCATGTTGCTGCAACAAAATATTATCTCTCCATTCAGTTTTACTGGCATGTGAATATTGTCAATAAGGTGTTACTGGAGAGCCCTGCTGTGGTACAAGTGTTCATGTTCAGTGCAGTTAATTCTGGCCCACAGAGAGAGAGAGAGAGAGAGAGAGAGAGAGAGAGAGAGAGAGAAAAAAACCACACAACACTACGGCACGTAACACAGAGCCTTCAGAAAATGGTATTTTCAACCATGACACTAATCTTTGGTATCAGCCCGGTCACATCGATTAAAAACACACACAGAAGCCACATCCTAACACTGGCTGACATGTTTTTTCTTTTACTAACCATGAACACTGTAGTTTGGGTGAGTCATACCAAAAACACTTCTGAAACAAGGTGCTGAAACAAGTAACCAAACAAATGTTATGTTGATCAAACCGGTTGACATTCCTCAAACTATCTACTTCAGGGCATGAGATACCAAGAAGTATGGAGCCAAGCTATTTGAGGACTTCCTTATCCTTTTTTAAACACAAGACACTTTATTGATGATGCATGTTTAAAAATTTCCATCATCAGAAGAAATGAAATTGCCATGTGCTGAGAACCACTGACAGGGGCTTCATGCAACAGAACTTCTGGAGGGGGATTAAGCTAGAGTGAGGTCAAGGGGTCCTTCTCAGAAGAAAAATGGGAAGAATTATGCCATTTTATGCATTTTAAACATTTATAATCAAAGTCTGAAACCTCAGTTAAATCATGCAAAATGCCTCACATCGTAATTGTTTATTTTTTCGTAGCCTTTTATCAGACCTTTTCCATACTTGAAATATTATCCAGCATGTGCACGATGCCAAAGAGAGACAGACTACATATTGTTGATTTGGTCTTCTCATGGGACTTCATGTAAAAATAGAATGATTTGGGGCGCTGGTGGTTCAGTGGTTAGTGTGCGCCCCATGTATGGAGGCTTTTCCTGGGCGGGCGGCCCAGGTTTGAATCCAGCCTGTGGCTCCTTTCCCACATGTCATTCCCCACTCTCTCTCTCTCCCTGATTACCAACTCTATCCACTGTCCTATCTCTACATTAAAGGCACAAAAAGCCCAAAAATAAATCTTTAAAAAAAAATGATTGAAAGTCCCTTTAAGAACTTCATTAAATATTAAATCTGTTTCAATAGTCAGGATATTTAGGTGTTGAAATGTTCTTTAACGATCCCCTTTCCTCTCTCTTCTTTTTGGCTTGTGGCCCTTGGAGCGCTATTAGGCCACATCAGTGACATGAAGTGTCACCGCCTGCAGGGAAAATTAAATAGGTTGCCTCCGTGGGGACATTTCTACTCTCCACATACAAAGACCATCATGGAGATCAACATTATGTCTTGCCAGTGTCATTGACAGCAGCGGTATGAATCTAGATTATATCAGGTTTCTGTCATTTCTATCAGAATACTTGAATTGGCACATTAGTGATCAAAAGCATAGTAAGAGCAGCGTGCAGTAGTTGTTTAACACATGTGATGCCAATTACAGTCATGCATCTGAATGGAGCTTTCTCCAAAACGACTTGAAACTGGCGGATCTAATTTTTGCTTGAAGCCTTTGGTTCCATCTTAAAAGACTAAAAAACACAAGACCATTGGACAGCATCTGTGGCTTTTAATTTGTAATCTGTGATCACAACTTCTGCACTTTATCTGCAAACCAGTTTTCACATTTGAATTGTTGTTGTTCTTAACATTTGGGAACTGTTTTCTTAATCATGTAGTGTTTAATATGACGTGTACTGCTGCCCTCTTGGCCAGGTCACCCTTGTGAAAGAGATCTTGATCTCAATGGGTTATTTACCTGGTTAGAAAAAGGTTAAATAATACGAAATGATGTAAACTCAAAACAACAATTTTCCTCTGGTTTGCTCCAGCACACTTCCCTCAAAACACCTCAGACCAGGTTTTAGATTAGCAGATTTTCCTGCCTCACATGGGATCACTATGTGTCAGTTTATAGTCAGTATCTCTTTAACAAACAGCCACCTAAACTTTCCATGACCCCGGCAGCTTCACTTTCAGGAGAAAGTGAGGAAAGTGTCTTAACATCCACATATCCCCTGAAGTCCATCACATCTATGGCGCAAAAGTTTAAACAGCCTCCAACTGGCCAAGCTGCAAATAACTGCCATTAACCTTGGCAGCTCTCGCACAAAAATGTTTGTGTTTTGTTTAAAAGTAAGCTCTGTGGCTGCGTGGAGTCTGCATTGCATTGAAATGTAATGTTTTTTTTCCATGAATCATTCATCCCAAAGGAAGCATTTACATGGAGAGCAAGAGAGCAGCAGGATGTAGCCTGAGGGTGTGCCACAAATCTCTTTGAATGGACTGAACGAATCCTCTGTTTTAACAAACCGTTATGTTTACACTCATTGTTCTCAAGAACAGAGTGAGCTTAGCGAGTATACAGGAGGCCTGTATGAAAACAACAATATAATAACTTTTTTCACACGTCTTTCTCATTTATCTGCCATCACATTCCTCATTGAGCCCTCACTACGTCTATGACAGCATTCTTTTTGCTATGTTGCTAGCACTGTTACCTTTTAATAATTGATATATTTAGAACATATTAATAAAATCGAAGTAGACAAGATTAATGTAAACTATACATTCCTCTGTTGAGCGGTTGACACAGAGCAATCTTTTTTTTTAAAGATTTATTTTTGGGCTTTTTGTTCCTTTACTGGAGAGATAGGACACAGGAGGAGCCACAGGTGGGATTTGAACCTGGGCTGCCCGCTTGAAGGGCCATAGCCTCCATACGGGGCGCGCGCACTTACCACTGCGCCACCAGCGCCCCAGAGTGATCTCTTTACAGACTGGATCACTGAAATACGGAGAAATAGTTGGATCTCTCCATCTCTACACTTTGACTACGAAGTTTATTCAGCTTCACATCCATCAATGATCTAACCGGGCCTGTGTGTAGCTTCATGCTTTGCTTTATGTAGGCTAATGCTAATGTAGATATTTGTCTGTTTACTCTGGTTTTCGTCACGTCAGGAGGGAAAGTGACGTCAATGCCCTCTATTGAGTATCTTTAACTCATAGCATGTTTTTTTTTAAATGTAGATGTTGCTTTAAAGAATCCACTGATCTCTGGGTAAATAAAGCAGAGTAAAGCTGCTGAAATACTTCAGCAGCTCGTTGAAATATTTTATTTCTTGCCTTTGACACTTGGTGGATATTTGGGTCTTAAAAGAAACTGAACTTGTCAGTTTCCACAGTTTAATGTGGTTATAATACAGTTTTAATATAATGGTATGGTAAACAGATAATAACAGTAAAGTGTGTGCATCATCCTTATCCTTTACAAACTTGTATTGTTTGCCATGTGTTGCATTTTGCAGTTGAATTTGTGACATAGATTGAGGTCATGTCCATACCCTCTTTATGAAATGTATGCAGGTGTTAAAACCTGTATAGGAGGTTTTTAAATGTAGAGGTTTTAGTTGGACATATTAAAAACAGATGAAGTTTACTCTAAAACTCTTCAAGGATGATAATAAACAGTTTGTCTGTTTTAGTCATATCATCCATGGATTGCGTAACTGTTTTATCAGGGTTCATATATTCTCTCCCTCCAGAGGTCAAAGACACAGATCAAAGAGTTCTTTATTATCCGCTGCAACTAATATCTTTGGGTTTAAAAACTCACTTTGAGGAGGCCAAAAGAGAAAAAAGATTAAAGCTAAGAAAACTGATTTCACATCATAAACACAAACCACTTGAACCCAGTTGGCTCTTATCACACTGGCGCTTGATGAAGCCTCAGAATACAGGTTTAGAACATAGTGCAAGTCAATTTTTATTTTGAAATTTAAAAATGTGTGAGTGTATGTCCCAACTTAATGTGGATCAAATCCTTTACTTCTTTGATCTCAGCACGGTGGGTGATTTTTAAAGCTTCTTTCATCGGAAAACAAATGTATCTTTATAACAGTGTGTGTGTGTGTGTGTGTGTGTGTGTGTGTGTGCGCGCATGTGTGTGTGTCTCTGTGTGTGTCTCTGTGTGTGTGACAGCCTTTCAGAGGTTATTGGGGAAGAAAGATGTGTCCCAGGAGCTGGAAGAGGTCCATGCGGAGGCTCGTGCTCAAGAAAACCTCTGCGCTGCGTCTGTGTTACAGCTTCTGAGGAACCCTGCTGTTCGCTGGCAGCTCATCACCATCATCATCACCATGGCCTGCTATCAGCTCTGTGGCCTCAACGCTGTAAGAAAAAGCTAAAAACAAACTTTCTCGTATTGCCACAGAATCCTGTTCTTTATGCCTTCTTACAGGGGATTCTATTTTAAGGTTGCATTATCATATTCTATTTCAGTCACGAGTCGGACTCAAACCCCGGATGCCTTCTTTGAGTGCTGCAGGCTATGACCTAACCGCTAAGACATCTGCGCCCCAAAAAAATATTCTTACCAAACCAGAATGCAGAATTCTCATATAAAAAGTGCTATCTAAGAAAAAAACAAGATAACTTACAATTTGTGGATTTGGTATTTTGGGCTATTAATTGTCTAATCTAATTGTCATAGTTTTGCTTTATACATTTAAATCCTTCTTATCTCAGCATGCTTCATCCTTGCATATGAGCTGTAATTTTAGTCAAGTAAAAAACACTGCTCCAAGAGGCTTTACTCTTCATCTGAGAGACTGCTCCTTCTTCTTAAAGAACTTGACAACTTGACACCTGTCCGCTGCAGAGAAATCAATATTGTATTGAAGCATTTTAAAGCATGTATAAGTCTGTTTGACAAACCGTCAAATTACTGTTGGTTAAATGCAGTGACACTTGGGTGTGCTGTCCTGACACACTCCAAATGGTTGACAAAGAAAAACAAAATCGAGAGAAACAACACAGCTCTGTGTGTCAGTGGCTCAGGTGTAGCAGCTGAATGCTCTGTCCCCATGGGTGTGTGCATGCACAGATGTGACCCCATATTTCTTTATTCAGAAAGAGGTTGCATTTTTCTCATTTGTAGTTTCTAAAATAATCGCACAAATTCTAAAAAGCTTTTTTTGTTCTAAATTAGTCAAAACTGTAAAAAATACACATGATAAATTAACATCTCTGAAGCAGATATTATCTTGCCCCAGTTACAGTGGACAAATATTTCTTCAGTTTTATGTCCAGCATTATACTGTGCTGAACAAACATGTAAAGGGAAGTTACTCGCTCTGTCCGCTGCACTTATTTGTGATGGTAAGATTTGTGAAAACATTGCATTGTACCCTGTGCCTGATAAGGACGAACTGTCCACATATGGGCTCCACCATTCTCCTAGAGTTCAAGCTTAATTCTGCTCCAACACTTGAATAAACAGAATGACTACAGTGAACCAAGACAAGCGTATGTAACATCCATTACTTTAAAGGAAGAATGTCAAAGACAGCAATCTCAGTGAGGGGCAAAATCTCATCAATATAAAGAATCACTGTAGCTGTTGATGTCTGGCTTTGTTTTATATTTAAATGAATGTTTATTTAAAAAGGTACAGATTTCAAACTCCCGTCTGTGTATTAAGGATTTACTTGCAGCAAGGATCCAATCACAAGTGGATAAAATTAAGCTTCTGGCTGACAGATTTGATGGCTGTATGTCATAAATGCAAACGCTTTATTTGTCAAGTCCTCAAATTGATATTCAGGATGATTTATCAGAGAACAAATAATCATGGGCACTTTTCTTCACTTTCAGATTTTCCTATTTGACAGGATGATTGATTTTCTTTTTAATAAAAATGCACAGCTTGAAATCACAAAGCTTATCTGAATTATCATAATATGAGCATGACTTCATTTACATAGAGTTTCATTTAAAGGAGAGTGGAAAACAATTTAGCTCACGCTGGAGTCATTACTTTGATTTTCTGAAAGTTTACACTTCCTCATCACCTTCAGAATAAATGTTTAGTGCCTGTAGTAAATATTTTAGCCCGTGATTTACTCAGTGATGTCATAGAGGCTTTTTGTGTTGCAATGAACCTGAGAGGTGATGCTCGGGTGGCATTGAGAAACGTTCCATGCAGTGTCATATGGAGTTACAGCACTCTCAATATTCACGAATGCACACAGAAGGATTCACAAATGTATTTCAATGAGCCACCACACCCCCCTCAGATGTGTCATCAGTACTAACCCTGCTTCTCCTCCTACCAACTGCACCTACCGCTAAAGACACTAAGTGAATCCTCCTAACGCATTATCATAACACAATGCACACACAAATATATTTCATTGTATATAAATGTAAAACAAATCCACAAATAAAAAAACAAGATTCACAAATGTATTTCTGATTCACACACAAATTTCTATAGTTTTGTATATATGTAATAGAAAGCCACAAATATATGATATACATATTTAAAACCACATTTGTACCTTGTTACATTTATATACAAACTGTTCAGTCTGCATTTACAAACTGTTTGTCATTTGTGAACCTCACTGCATTTGTGTGTGGGACTTTTGAGACTCCCCTGCCGTGATTAGATTCACAAATGCATTATTTTCAGCAGGGAAATGTCTGTAGCCAATCAGATGTCTCCTTCCTATTCAGCCAATCACAATACCGTAGATGTTTTAATGTGATCACTTTAGCGTTATTTGAATCACAAATTTATTATTTATATTGTTATTTGTGAATCAGAAATACATTCGTGAATCTTATTTTTTTATTTGTGGATTTGTTTTACATTTATATACAATTAAATATATTTGTGTGTGCATTGAAATACATTTGTGAATGAATGGCTGAAGAGCTTCGTCCTGTCAAAACTAACAACTTTCAACTGCCTCTGTGATTTGTATTTCTATGTGTTTTTTTATCACCAACAAAAGAGGCACAGACGAGAGAATAGTTCAGGTCAAAGGTTAAGATAAGATGCTCCTTTATTCATCCCACAACGGGGAAATTTACAGTGTTATAGCAGCAAAGAGCAAGGTTAGTAGTTAAGGGAGTGGATGTGGACAAAAAAAACAACAATTGTGACTGTTGAAACCTGAAATATTTAAACTTCAGATCCTTTCCTTTCAGGATATGTACACACAACAGTTCTTAATTCCTGTTTAAAAAAAAGCTCATACTGGTTTTTATAATGGTTAAACTACTTACCTCATTATGAAAGTGTTGGATAAATATAGAAACACAACAGCAGCAGCTGCAGTGTGAATTAAATCAGTGTTTTACCAGGACGTGTTTAGCAGCTTGTGATTAAGGATGAAGGACAAAGGTAAGGAAAGGATTGTGAAGCTACTTTGGCTTCGAATGACACAAAGCATACCAGAATAAAAAGCGCTGCCGAGCATATTACATCTCAGGACGTACACTTACTCTTAGCGTGCATTCAAATCGTGCATTATGTATACGTTTTGGGAAAACGTGGCCCTCTGTCTCTGCAACTGTGCCTCATTGCTAATGAAGTCTAATTCACAAACAGCATAGCTTCAAGCAGTTTCAGTGACATTATCAATGTTTTGGGAATTACAGTTACTGAGCTAACTAAGTTGCAGAACTTTATGGACCTGTTTTATGTGGTTATCATCAGGGTATTATTCTCTGTGAATGAGAGCAGTGGCAGATCATGCTTTATGGTGCTGTAGTCCACTAAAAACTGTAAAGGGTTAAAAAATGTGTTCATAATTATTTAAAATGTGGTTTGTCTTAAGCTAAAAACAAAGGTTATTAAAAGGTTGAAAATGGATCACAAGATTTAAATAATTGCATAAATAAATGTTCAAAAGTTCATTATAGTGAAAATATAGTTCATTGCTAAAAGAACAAGTTAAACGAGTTAAAAAGAGACCCCAATATAAGTTTTTATGTTTATGTATCTCGAAGAGCTATTTAAAGCCAGATTCCAGTGCACTGAGCTAGTTACAATGTTATTGCAATACCGAACCAGGTCGCTAGAGGGTGCATAGCGCTTGTGAGGAGCATAATACCCCAAAGAGGCAAAATCTGCAGAATAAATCCTGCAGCCGAGCTGAACACAGCTAATCTTCGTTGCTTCTTTGTATTTACATACAGACCACTGCAGGGTAAAGACACACTCCTCCCTGGCACCCCTAGGCCAGGTCGGGGGAGCAACAAAACCAGTCCCAGTGAATTCCCTTCTAATGTAGTAATGTGCCAAAAACAAAAGGAAATGTATTTGACCTGAGATCAAATCTTCTTGTAAAGGGAGTCTGAAGACAACATGAATAAAGTGTGAAACTTTAATGTGAAGCTCTCTGCACCAGTCAGCCCAGCGGTTATGTCATGCGCAACAATGTGCAGAGTCTATCGTCCTCGTTGCAGCGACCATGGGTTTGATTCCGACTTCGGTCCTTTGCTGCATTTTAACCCTCTGTCCTCCCAACATTCCTGTACCTCTTCTGTGCCCTATCAATAAAGACAAAAAATAGCCCAACAAATATCAAAAGAAAAGGGAAGCTCTGGTGCTTCCGGTGGTCTTTTGTTGCAGCCCGGCTGTTGTTGTTTTTTAGTGTTTCTTACAGAGTATGAGCTGCTGCCCTAAGAGGTTAAGAGCTTCCCATTGTAGACTGAACAGGTTTAAAATGCACTTATCTGTGTGTCTATAAAGCTTTTAACTAGTGGCAAATAAGGCATGATAGGCACTGGACTACGATTTCTCTCAGCGTTTTTGCACTGGTATTTTAAGAACCTGATGTTATTCATTTTTGTTTTAATTAATATTTAATGTTTTATGTTTCATTTGAACAATGATGAATGTGGCTTTTTTTATGGCTGCAGCAAGGGTGAAGAGAAACAAATATCTCACTCTGGCGGATGATAAAGTTAATCTTGATATTGACAAGAAGAATCATTGTATACAATTGTTTGAATACTTCAAAGCTGCAAAAAAAAAACGAGAATGTCTTTGAATGACACAAGGTTTTTTGTTTTTTCCCCAAAGATCTGGTACTACACCAACGGGATCCTTCGAGATGCAGGTTTTGCTGCAAACATCATCCCCTACATCACACTGAGCACCGGAGGCGTAGAAACTTTGGCGGCCATCGTCTCTGTGAGTATTACTACATTGAAACTTAAACCTTTAAATCTTAATTAAAAATGATTTTGATTTTTCTTTTGTTTTTCTTCTAGAAATGTGTCTTTCATAAAAAATAACAAAAAATAGTTTTAAACTAATACCAGTGTTTTCAGACACTGAGTTTGTCATTAACCTCCATTTGATATATGATAAAAGACTTAAAAGAATCATTTGGGGAGTATATCTTCTGTGCTCATGCATCCAGTCAATTAAAAGACACAAAGACACATTTTTTTTTATTAGACTGATATAAAGTGTGCTGTTTTTGATTTCTGAAAAAATGTTAAACTACAAAAGTTTAAATGTACACTATTGGCAGATAATTACTGCATTAAAGTCTTCTTTTACTGTTCATTTGCTGTTTTTTAATGCAGAGGCCGTTTGTATATTTTGATAAAGGTCACATATTATCCCACTATTCAACAAGTTTCAATAAGTCTCAGAGCTCCCAAAAACATGTCTGTGAAGTGTCTTACCAAAAATCCACTCTGATCCTGTGTTTTATCATGCCTATACACCCCTCTTTTTCATCCCTGCTCAGAACAGGCTGATTCTGTGTCTGTAGCTTTAAATGCAAATGAACTGTGTCTGAGCATGCCCCTCTGGAAGGGTTTGGGTGGCTTGGGCTGTCTTGCACCCTACCCTCTTGTTTACTGCGGAAAGGAAGACTTGGATGGCAGAACAAACATAGCTGTGGGAGTATCACCCACAAGGGGGGAGGGGTCACTGCCTTTTGTGATGTCACAATGGGACAATCCCCAAACGGCCTGTTTCAGCACACATTTTCTGGAGAGGATGGCCACATACAAGTGTTCGAAAAACATGGAAACTTGAATTTTGCATAATATGGGACCTTTAAATGAGCAGTCTGAAAAAAACAAAAATGTGCTTCTTTTTGTCTTCAGTCTTTTAACCATAAATTTATAAAGATGATACAAAATTGAGAACAGGGCGATGCACATGCTGAAATACCAATGTGAAAAACAAGAGTGCCGGTGTTGTTGTCTATTAGAGTTTTGATTAATCAATAACCCATTTATCAAGTGACTCTCTTTCACTTTGTCTTCATCATTATTGTAGTTTGCACCTTTTAAGCTTTTATTGAATGCTCTCGAGAATTGACGAACTGCTCACATGCAAGCTGTTCAAACGTCATCAGCTCAGAGCTAGTAAAAAATGCAGCTGTCACGGGAGCAGAAATCTCCACTTTGGCAGCAGATCTGTTTCTGAATGACACTTTACACCAAACTGCTCAATGAAGCGGTGAGCTGGAGGGACGGTCTCTATTGGCAGCTTGTTAAGTAATACTTTCATTTTCTACATCAAAGCATTTCGTGCTGGTTTACATGCATTGATTATTTGACACATGAGACTAAAATAAAATGCACCAGAGAGAACAATGGGGAAAAAAACACAATCACACAATACAACCGCCAACAAATCAACTAAACAGACAGTTATTGTACATCCTGTATGGAGCAGAATCCCAAGAGATTAGTTTTCTTTTATTTACTTGATCCACCCCCATCACTTCTTCTTGTTTTGCCCTGCAGCGGTGAATGACTTGTGTTCCTGTGAGACTATCCTTAATTGCTTTGTCAGTTGTTTCAAACAAGATACAATAGTTTGTTGTATACAATGTAATCCCTGTTAGCTGCTGCTGCTACCATTGATACTGTAGGAATGCTGACATTCAGACAACACTAAACTATTGATCCAGATTACATGAGGTCTGTTATCCACTCAACCAAAACTGCTTTTTCTGAATTCTTTTTGTCCTCCGCAGAAATATAAGGAACGTTTTTTTTTTACAGTAACCCTTTGTTTAACTTGATGACTTTAGGTACAATTTAACTTCCTTTATTAACCGTTATGACCTGGGTGGCCCAAATGAGCCAAATAGAAAAAGGAAAGAATCAAGATTTTATCCCACTATAATAGATTTTCTTCTGCTATGTGGTTACAGGAGAACAAACTCTGTAAACACAAAATTGTCCCTAAAAAGTTGATATTACTATTTTTTTGCCAAAGTTTTGCGTATTTATACATCCACCAGACATGTAGCAAATAGCTTTGATGTAGTTGTTCTCTGACTTGCCTGTTTTTCGATGGCGCTTGCCGCAAGTATGCGTCGAGCTGATAAAAGCAGATCCACCCAGACAGGAAGTCAGACAAGGGGACGCTAGAGCATTTGGTAAATTTCGAAGGACAATATAAAGACAGACAGATATCTGCACATTGTTCTCCTTCTTCCTGTGTGATCTTGTTCTGTGATCTTGTGAACCCGCAAGTCCAACTGCACTTACGCTTCAAAGAAGGGGCCCAGTGTCGTAGAGCGTGCATGGTTTGGTTGCACGGTACAAAACCACGGCAAAGACGTATAGCTGCAGAAACAATCTGAACAATTTGAATGACAAGTGACTGACTTAAAACACCATCATCATTAGCCCTTCAATCATCAGATTTCTTTCTGGCAGTATACTGTCACAATTCCCCATGAGCCACACCCATCTGAATCTTAACAGTTTTTAATGGACAACACCCATCTTATCATGTTGACAACATCAAGATAGTTTATTTTCAATTAAGAAAAAAAGGAGCAAGATTAATTCACATAATTAGTGGTCATAAAAATGAAAATATAAACTGGCTTTATAGAGTTTAATCTTTAAAGTTTAGAGTTCAATTTGTTATTTTGTATTACATGCCAGCAGATCTATCCTTAAACTGTACCTCTGCCACTATCAGGTAAAAGCAACCACGTAGAAGAGATCATTTGATTTGGTAAAGAGCAGAGTATTTGACATCATTCTTTTGGTGAAAAAACCTTGAGGATATACATGTTTTTTAATTTCATTCCATTGAGCAGACAGCATTTGTATGAGTCTCATGTTCGGGTTCAGGGATATTTTGACACCCAAATGGGAGAGATTAATTTGATTTGTGGTTTCAGGAGCCTCAAATATTTATGACATTCAAATCAAAGTCTGCATTTGGCTTTGAAAAGTCACTAATTTAATTTAGATGGCAAACATTACAAAGATGATATATGCTCTCTGATTCGACAAATGGAATACACACCAGGGGGCACTTATTCAAATTTAGCTGTAGCTTTTATTCCAGGAGTAAAGCCATCACTGCACAGAGCTGCCAACACACAGACAATAATATCTAACATATTGTGTGTGTGTGTGATTTTAATATTCCAGAGGAGGAAGGGGAGGATGAATTACTCAGAAAATACATCTTAGTGTGCACAGGGGGAGGTCATTTAAAAAAAAAAAAAGAATTGTCGTAGAACATGCTGGAAATCTACAAAAAAAGATAACAAGTTTTTTTGCATGCTGCAGTTTGGTGTTAATGAGTTTTGGGAGTTTCATGCACTGGGTGCACCTTGAAGGCATCATCTTTCCTGGTCTGTTCCATAGAGGAATTAAGATTTTCTTTTCAATTACAGAAAAGACAGAAGGAGGAGAGAGCTGTTATGGACTGTTTTGTGAAAGTGACAATTTTATATGACATACTTCGTTGTAGTGGAATGAGAAATCGTGCAGACCTGTTTTATCAAATTTACTTTACCCTCTACAGGGAGAGCTCCAGGTTTAACACATTATATTTTCCTCATGATTAAAAGGGTGATTTGATGTGATTTGTTGTAAGTCCACAGGCTGATTGGTGGATGGATGGATGACAAACAAGACAGTTCAATATTATACAGATATAGAATTGAGTCATCAAATTTTGCTTCATGAATTCTATGCAGAAAAAAACGAAATTTCTGCATCAGTGTTTACAGCAAAAACACAACAATCATTTCAAAATAAAAGTCTGAATAATCCACAACATGATGCTCCTTCAGGATTAAATCTATTTGGTCATACATAAGCAGGGGCACCAAAGTTCAAACTCTACCAAACTCTGGAAATATAAAGATGATTATTCAGAAACTCTTTCTGAATAATGCAAAAGGAGGCCTACACAGAACTAGGCAGTGCATTGCAGGCTGTAATCTTAAACAACAAATACATCTTCTTTACAGGTCGGATTGATGAAAGGTTCATGTGTTTATGCATGCAATCATTCAATAAGTGCAACATCACTGAATTGCAAAACCAGGCAACACTTGCCAGGATTAGGAAAACCAAACATAGTATTTCATTCAACATTAATTTAATTCCTTTTGCACAACCATTAATACTGGAATATCTGTTTTCTCCACAGTGGTGGAAAAGCACAACTTTTCTTCATTATCAGAGGATTATGGGATGCACAAGTCTTTGTCAGCTCTGTTACTGTACAAAGATCAACCTAATCCCATCTCTCTAGCAAAGCCTGCTGTGATAGACACCAGCATCAGTGTGTAAATAAGTGAGTGTGTAGAATATATTCTGCGCAGGGTGCGGAATACCCGGTGGCATCCTAACTTTCCATCCTTGATGTCAAGCTAAACGATGTGCTCTTTCCATTCTCCTACCTAATTAATTGTCCATCCAGCCGGCATGTCACTTAAGCAACTAGCAGCCGCCACTGCACCACCCCGTCTCCCTGAGATGGGCTCTCTGCCGATTCCGATTCAGCTTTTTAGAAGTGAATACAAAGTTAGAAAGTAATGCATTTTGCTTTCTCTTTGACATATATCTTGTCTCAGACCCCCCAAAGACCCCTGTATTTCGAACATTAATTCTATGGATAGATGAGTTGGTTCAGCCTTTATACTTAATAATCTGAATTTTTCAGCAGTAGCCTATAGGAACCTGCAAATGAAGGAGGGTTTCTGATCATTTGTAATTTATAAAAGAGAATATTAACCTGAATGTAGAAGCTGTATTTTTAAAAACACATATTTAAGTATGGCCTGAAGCATAAACACTTTCACCCTATTTGGACCAAGACTAGACACGTGAAGCGTTTACCTCTCTGACACTTCATCCGCTTCTAATGTCAAATGTTAAGTAAAACTAAATGACTTGATA